AAACATTGTATCTTTTGGAGCTGTTGCTTCAGGAGCTCAGAGCCCTGCAGCTGCAGGCAGGAACCTTGGTTTCCTCTATCGCTGGGGCAACCAAGCATCCTGTTCTCAGCTGCCTGGCTGCCGGCCGCCATCTTGGCTGACAGTTAATTTGCATATACTCACTGATTAGCCAATGAAAAGGGTAGCGGTCGTATGCTAATTACCATGTTTCTCTTTTATTAGTGTAGATAATTTTTTTGCTGGTCTTTTGTTTTATTTTGTTACTTTGTTAATCCTCTCCCGAGGGTATTTTTTCCATTGATTTTTAGGGAGAGTGGAAGAGAGAGAGAAAGACAGAGAGAAACATTGATGTAAAAGAAACACATTGATTGGTAGCCTCCTGCACAAGCCCTGACCAGGGCCCGGGCCAAGGAGAAGCCTGCAACCAAAGTATGTGCCCTTAACCAGAATTGAATCCGGGACCCTTTAGTCCACAGGCCAATGCTTTATCCACTGAGCCAAACCGGCTAGCGCTGCTGGGGTTTTCTTTTACCTTCTAAAACTGATGGAGAGTTAAAGAAGATAAGTTGTATCTATATATATAAAAACCCAGCGACTGGAATGACCAATCACAAGGATGCACACTGCGGTGGCCAACTGGCCCAATCTGGGCCCCTATTGGCCCCCCAAAACCTCCCGTGGCCCCACCCCCGATCGGCCCTGCCAGCCCCAATCGGCCCCCATCGGAGTGGGCTGGCTGGACCCCACCCATTCATGAATTCGTTTACTGGGCCTCTAGTATTCTTTATAAAATAGTGAATGTAAATTAGGGCAACTTAGGAATGTCTTGACATATATATCAAAGAAGGTACAGTTTGTGGTCAGTCTTAGTGATAAAAATGGAATGTTTTGTTTGGTTTTTCACTTTGAAAAATTCTGTGTTAGTTTGATTCTTCACATGTTACTCTTAAACCATATAAAAGTTAGAATAACTGACTTTATACTGTGATTTTTATATAAGAGATTAATGTTAGCTGGAAAAACTTTTTTCAAAAAGGTTTTTATTTTATGAAATGCTTAATTTCTGTTTTCAGCCATGAAAGTGTCTAGCATTGATTCTTCAGAACAGAAAAAAAACAAGAAAAACTTAAAGAAGTTTCTTACACGGCGCCCCACTTTGCAAGCTGTTCGTGAAAAAGGTTATATTAAAGGTAGGTAGAAGTATGAAATCAGAAATAAGACATTTGAAATTAAAAGCTAAAAAATTTTCAAAATAAAAATGTTCTCATTCCTTACTCATAAAGTTTTTAGGTTCAGTGATTAAATACATGTGAGTAATTAAAATTGATTTTTAAAATCCACATGAAGAGTTTATTTTAACTAAAGCATTGAGCAGACATAAATACCAAACTATTAAGTTTTTAGCAACCCTGTACTAGAGGAACTACACAAGTGTGATCATACGAGTGGCACATTTTTATTTATTATTTAAAAATGTATATTTTTTTATTTCAGAGAGGAAGGGAGAGGGAGAGATAGAAACATCAATGATAAGAGTGAATCATTGATCAGCTGCCTCCTGCACGCCCCACACTGGGTATCAAGTCTGCAATCCGGGCACAAACTGTGATCTGGTTCATAGGTCGATACTCAACCACTGAGTAACACCCACTGGGCACGTGGCACATTTTTAGAAGACATGATTTTCAGTTTTGAGATGTACAGATCAGAAGAAATTTTGAATAGACAATCATTAACACAGTAGAAAGAAGAAAAAATAATGAATAAGCAATTTTATTCTTATTTATCTTCAGTTCTCATTTAAGATAATTTAAAAATTAGTATATTTCTTATTTCATTAAAAGAACCGTAATGTACAGGATCGTGTCTTTGTAAGAAAGCATTCTTTTAAAATCATATATGACTTAAACAATATACAATATTCTTACAAGCATGTTTAATTCCAAAAGTAAGTTTTTTAATACATAATTCAAAACAGTGATAGTTATTTTATTTATTTATTTTTTTAAAATATATTTTATTGATTTTTTATTGATTTTTTACAGAGAAGAAGGGAGAGGGATAGAGAGTTAGAAACATCGATGAGAGAGAAACATCGACCAGCTGCCTCCTGCACGCCCCCCAGTGGGGATGTGCCCGCAACCAAGGTACATGCCCTTGACCGGAATCGAACCTGGGACCCTTGAGTCCGCAGGCCGATGCTCTATCCACTGAGCCAAACCGGTTCGGCCAGTGATAGTTATTTTAAATAAAGGTATAGGTAAAGGATATATATAAAATATATGTTTGTCTCTGATTATGAAGTTTCTGACAAAAATCATCACTAGTACATCTGTTTGCAGAGCATCTGAATTAAAATACACAAATGGGTTTCATTAAAAAGATAGTTAAAACTTTTAGGAAGAGTTCAGCTAATTAAGTGATTCATATTAGCAACCTAAGAGTTACAGACAAACAAATACTCCCAGATAATGTATATTAATTTAATATTTTGAGTTTAGAACCTTAAAAAAACTTCAAAAATAATTGAATTGAAATAGCCACTAATTTGTTCACCAAGCCTTTTCACTGAGAAATATAAACTGTTGCCATTTTATGTTGTTATTCACTACTTCAGATATTTTGTTTGTTTTCATGAATGCTTAGCACAAGTGTTGGCATTTCAAAGCTTTTGTGCTGAAAGATTAATAGAAGTCTTTGAAATATATTTTGTGAAATTAAGTGTTGGCTCGTTTTAATACTTGAGTATGTACTAAGTGCCAAGTGTTCAGTTGGGAGGTCCTTGCCCTCACAAAATTTATATATAAAAATGAAAGATGGACAACATAATTTAAAAGAGTAACGTCTACTATGAATTATCTAACATTGTAATAAAATAGTGACTGGAAGTGGGTTATGATAGATAAGATGTTCAGAGGGTTTTCCTATGGCGATGACATTCAGCTGAGACCAGGATTGATGAAATGAGAAGGAGCTCAATATAGGTGAATATTGATCTCTACAGATGCCATAGAAAGTAATAAAGTTCTCAGGCAAATATAAGTTGGGGTGTTCATGGAATTTAGTAAAGAAGGAAAATTGTTTGAAATGAAATTGGAAGAGATAAGCAGAGTACAGATCACATAGAGTATAATCATGGTAAGCAATTCTGGATGCACTCAGTGGCTTTATTGCACTGTGAAATGGTTTAGCTGTTTTGTGAACTAAATTTTAGCAAAGTGATTCTTTTTGGAAAAATAATCTCTTTCAGATCAGGTATTTGGAGCCAATCTTGCTAATCTGTGTCAGAGAGAGAATGACACAGTGCCAAAATTTGTGAAATTATGCATCGAATATGTTGAAGAATATGGTAAGAAAATCATTTTTTTCTAAAATGTTAAGCACACCAACCCATCGTTTTGCCATCAAAATCCCAAGGGTTTTTATGATTTTGAGTGATGAAACCAAAAGTTCTCCATAATTGGAAGATGTTAAGAAAAGCATCTTGTGTGCAAAAATCTTACATGTTTATACCTGTTTTAAATTAAGACCTTTGTGGGCACCCATTAAAATGTTCAGTGCTTGTGATTACTTTGTATCTGGTGTTCTTTGAAGCCATTTGGAGTTGGCATTTGCTTAAAATGAAGAAGTTAGTGATTTTGAAACTGATTTTTCTAAATGATTTGACAATGTAGAAGATATGAGATTATGTTTACTTACTAAGAGAAAGTTCTTTGTTTATAATAAAAATGAGATATTTTAAAACTTAAAACAACGATAAAGTTATCTAATCTTTTTTATGTCATTTACTGTAAAATAAGACAAACTAATTTCTATTTTGATTAATTTTAACATGTTTATAATATACTAGTTTTATATAAATTAACAGTATCTTGACTAATCACATTATATCTGTATATCTTCAAAAACATCATGTACAATTAAAATATTTACATAATTCATAATTTCTGCCAGTTCAGATCTCATCTCTTTCTCTTTGTCAACATGGTAGTACAGTTACTGTGCTACTTGCCTTTATTTAAAGTTAAATGAATAGCTTTTTAAAATTTGTACAGCATTATCATTTAATGAATATTTGAATTTTTAGGCTTAATTGGGTGAATTTCAAATGATTCTATTCCACATATAAAATGTTACTAAATTATCAATTGTTTTTATTGAACCATTATTTTAGTTGCTAGCTTGTACTAAGTTTGTCACAAGCACATATGAATATGGCAAACAGTTTTAAGAGAGTATTTATGGCGTTTACATTATAAGATGACATAGAAAAGATGGGTGGGCTGATTTTATCTATTGGCTTTCTTTACTTGTTGAACTATCCCCAGCTGTTTGTAGAAGTTTATCTTAAATTGTTAGTATCTCAAGTTGAATGAAATGACTTTCTTGAGATGATTCACAATCTACATGATAAAATATAATTGTTGCTGTTTATTAAATAGAATTCAGAGTGAATCTCCACCCTTTCTCTGCCAAGTATCTAAACAATATCATTTAGGCTAATGTTAATGAATAAGAATTCTGAAACATGTGAGCATCTTTAGAAGAGGCAAACAAGTACTTTAAACATAAAAATATTATTTGTCTCTTAGGTTTGGATGTTGATGGGATATACAGAGTAAGTGGCAACCTTGCAGTGATTCAGAAACTGAGATTTGCAGTCAATCATGGTAAGATCATAATCCCTATTGTTATATCCAAAATAATCACTCAGAGCTGTTAGAATTTAAAGTAATTTAAAATTGTTTCTATTTCTACTGTTGTCCCAGATGAGAAATTGAACTTGAATGATAGTAAATGGGAAGATATTCATGTCATCACTGGAGCACTCAAAATGTTTTTTCGAGAATTACCAGAACCACTTTTTACATTTAATCACTTTAATGATTTTGTGAATGCAATAAGTAAGTATGTAATTCTACTCCATTTTTTTTCTAGATGTTGAAAATCCTCTATACAGATTAAGTCACTACATTCTGGTGGGTTTTTTAGTGGGGTTTTTTTTATCGGTTTTGCTCCAGAAATTATAAATGTGACCACCAGATGTCACTGTGTATCACCAAATAACAGGTTCCAAACTATGTCACTGCTTTTCAGTTTCAGTTCTACTTACTTTTTTTCAGAACAAGAACCAAGACAGCGAGTCACTGCTGTTAAGGACCTAATCAAACAGTTGCCAAAGCCAAATCAAGATACAATGCAGATCCTTTTTAGACATCTCAAAAGGTAAAAGTCTCAGCACAAAAAAGAAATAGTAATTAGGAAAACAAAAAATAGAACTGCATAGTTATGACACATGGTGTTGTATACCCAGGAGGCCTGGTCACTCAGACCCAGGTTTAAATACTAGCTATGCTACTTACTGTCTTTGCAACTTGATAAAGAGCTCCTTTGAGCCTCAGTTTCTCATAGATAATAGGGTTTGGTATAAAGAATACATTAAAATAGATGTTATGTGTGAAGTAATGCCTAGCAAGGGTGTGGTTGGTGTTAGAAATTGTTAAATTTAATTAATATAAAGATGAGATTGGTTAATAAATGAGGACTGTTAAATCACCTTAAAATAAAGCCATCATTGCTCTAAGTTACTACATAGCTACCTTAATAACTGATTTTTTCCTTCTGAAAGAACAACCACTAGAATACTAAAATAAATGATTCAGTGAGAGATTTAAAAACAACACATAAAATGAGTAAAATTGAAAGTTTAAGCTCGTGCTCTAATGAAGTTTCCCCCGTCCCAATCAACCTAGTGCAGTAATCTTTGTCACCTGAATTGTAAGTCATGTTTAAGTTTGTCTTATTTTAAATGCTAAGCTAAAATATCACATTTAAGCTTATTAGAATATGTTTAATTATACCTTCCAGCTATATTTATCCAGAAGAGCTTCACATGATATTTGAACTGAATTTTACTTGGCTAAATAGTTTATATGTACCTTCAGAAAATGAAAATTATTTCTCATTTTTAAATGCAAACTGTTTATGTTTATAACACATTTTGAAGAATTTACCTCTCTAAGATATTCTCTATTAACAATTTATTTTTTTTCCCCCTTAGAGTTATAGAAAATGGAGAAAAAAACCGAATGACCTATCAAAGTATAGCAATTGTTTTTGGTCCTACTTTGTTAAAGCCAGAGAAAGAGACTGGTAATATCGCAGTTCATACTGTCTACCAAAACCAGATTGTAGAATTAATTCTTCTGGAAATAAATTCCATCTTCGGACGTTGATTTCATATTGAAGACAACCTGTAGCTTAGGAACTGGATTCCATCAGATTTTAAATCCTCATACATGTTGTATTTTGTTTTGGACCAAGCAGTGACTCTTTGATTTTGCACTTTTTTGAGGGATCAGAAGGGACTGGAAGAGTCAAAATGGGTAATAGGCCCTCATATTTGCTGCTTTGTTGCAAGGTGATAAAACTGTGTTTAATTTTATCCTGAATGTTTGCATTCCATACTCTGAATTTCAGTAAAAATAAAAACTTGCAAATCTAACCAGTCATATACACTGGATAATTTGGTAAGAAAACTACATTTTTTTTTCTCAAACTGGATAATGTAGAACTTCTCATGATTTGTTAGGTTTATTAATTGATAGAACAATACTTACTATCAGTTATTTGAAAATGGCTCCTGGGCATTTTAAACAAAGTGAAGTATGTCTGTTTTGATACCTGTGTATTTCTTTTTCAAGGTTTTTGCATGTAGTGTGGTCTAAGTGCTAAAATTTATTGTAACCCAGATATAATTCCTGGACAGAGGCTTTGTCTTTTGCTGTATTGCACAGCATCCTTATGGGATATCTTAGTTGCTTGTTTGGGCAGCACACTAATACTACATAAAACACTGTGATATACTTGAGTTTAATTTAGCACACGTCAGTACAGGGTATTTTGGGGCTGTCTGTGCTACACTGATCTAGCTAACAATCCTAATTATATATAGTGCCATACTGAGTTCTTGGTATGATCCTGTGGAAACACGTTATCTTATGTAAATATAGGCTGAAGACTTAATGTCCTTCAGCTTATGTATAAAGTTATGTTGTATAGCCTCAGAGTATATTCAAAGTCAACATTTCTAATCATGATATTGGTAAACTTTTCTGTGAATACTAGGTCTCCTCCCAAAATAGGTTGTTATTTGATAAAAATTAACTACGCACTTTTAGTTTTTAATTACATTTACAGGCAAATCACTGTAATGCAAATGGTACTGGAAAAATACTGAGTAGACTTGCTAAATGGTAAATGCACTACAAGAGGAGCCTTTAGGTTATTTAATATGTACAGAATACATTAGAAAACAATTTATTGCCGAATTCTAACTGCAGTATGAATAGTGGAAACCTATATGTAAATTAGATGGATGTCAGAAAATGACATTGCTAAATTTGAGAATTTCTTTTTACATTACTAATGTAGATTGATTTGTATAATAAAACAGGGTTTGGAAGGTTTTGTTACAGAGAGCATGGTTTGTTGAAGATTTTTTAAAATGTATTTTTTTAGATTAACTGCTGTATATGAAATGTCTAATCTGAATAAAGAAAACTATAAGAGGTTTAGAAATTTTTTCCCATTAGAGATGTTTATTTTGTTTTTTTAATTTTTTGTTTTTGCATATACTGGTATACCTCATTTAAAAATCAACTGAATCTAATATTTTCTGTGGCAAATATATTTTCCTCATTTTACATCTTTTCTACTAGCCCCATGCCAGTACCTCTTCTCTTGCCCCATTTTTTATTTCTTCATCAAAATTTGAAAGTGAATGATTTGTAACCAAGTCTTTTGCTTAGAAATTAATTTATAATTTATAGCTTGCCTTTCTTCGGAACAAATATTTTGTATGATCTATCTAAAAACCTCTCACCTGAGTTTTGTGGTAAAACTATTGTTTGTTGTTTTGGTCTTGTTAAATTGATGACAAGACAAGTTACTTGATAGCTATGGGAAAGCAAATTGTTTTGGGCAGGGAGAATAAACCCCCAAGTGAGAATGTTTATTTTTGCCTAAAGATATCCTTAATAATACCACATGATTTAGGACTGGCCTATATAGTGATTGTGTGCCAGGAAAACAATCAGACTCCAATCAGTGATGTTCTTTCTCTCAGTCGTTATGGACATATCAGTGACTAATATTGTCCTGTGTTTCTTCTGTCAAAGTACGTGTGTATGTGTGTAAAGTCTTAAATGTTAAGTCTATACCTAATCAATTTATTGTAATAGTGTATGTACAGTAAGATCAGTGTCCTGTGTTTTCATCCTTTGTGAATTAAAATTTCTCACTTGTTTTTTTTGTAGTAACAAAACCAGTAATTTTTTTGTTTCAACAGCTTGAGTTTTAGTAGAAAATATAATAAAGGCTGAAATAAGTTGTCAGTGGAATTTCATTTACTAAATTTACTTCAGCATGTCATAAAAAAAGTAGTTGGAAATTGAAAGACAAATATATTCGGTATGGGATTACATTCCAGTTAAAAGAAAAATATTTAAAATTTAAAGCAATAAGAAACTTCACTGTTTACTCGAAAAAGTTAATTATGAAATATCTACGAAAAATCATGTTATCTTTTAGACAGAGGCAAATCTATAGATAATTTTTTCTTATGTGAAAAGTACAAATGGAATAATACAGCCAAACTTGAGTCTTAGGCAGATGTTATATACACATCTGTACACTATGTGTATATAAATATGTGTGTGTGTGTGTGTGTGTGTGCCATTGCTTTCATACAAATGAAAATTCATCAATAATAGTATGGGCAGAGACCTGGAGAGCTTTATACTATTTTTTGTTTCATCACACAATTTTTTGTAAGCCTGTAAAATTAGATAGCAGCAGTGAGAGGGGAAAAATGTTATTCTATAATTATGCCAAAAGATTGTTTTCCAGCTCATAGGAGAGGCTTCTAATTAAATATTTAAAGTAAACATATAGTTTCCCATGACACTAATTTCTCCAACATCTTTATGCATTAAAAAAAATACACAAAGAAATATACCACACATCATTTCAGTAAAGAAGAAAATAAAAATAGTCAAACGGGTGTCATGCTCATGGTGTCATAAAAGTCAAATGCTCAAATATTGCATCTAAACATAGAATTGAAAATGGGTAGAAAATAAGATTTTATGTAGTTTACTGGTCTCTGAACCCCAACTATTAGCTTTAATGATCCTCTTTTACAGAAAGCATTTCTCTGGTGCAATCTAGAAAAGGTGTTAAATAGGGACTTTAGCAGCCCATATGTTACAGTCCTGGAGGAGGGGCAGAGTTGTTTTTTTAAACAGTATTCCAATATAACTAACACAGTCCTGTTAAATGCAGCTTTAGTTTGAAACAAACAAACAAAAATGGTAAAGGGTGCTGCAAAACAAAAGCAACACTCTTACAATAATGACAAATTGGAATCTATTGGAAATGCACAAGCTGTAAACCCAGGCCAGGCAGGCAGACTTTGTATTCTAGAGATGGGGGAGGTACAGAATGCCTAATGAGACATTCTGTAACTACTAAAGACAAGGCAGTTCTCCTGGGGAATCTCAATTAGTCTTCTCAACTGAAGTTTTGTGGATCAGTGGTGGCTGTAAATATATTCAGCTGGATTGAGCTTTTATAAATTAGCTTTATGTGAATATAGCACTTAAATGAACTCTTTCATTTCCTTCATTGCTTCCCTTCTCCCACAGGGAAAAAAAAGGAAAGAAAAGAGCACTTTCATGGTACTCTCATAAACAGAGCACTTGTAGAACAAGGTAACCGTTTAACAAACCACTACCATATGGATTTAGAAAAGTCTGGTTCCTCACTTTTTCTCATCAACTCTCGGCCCCACTTTATTTTACTTCCTCTCTTGATGTTTTCAGAAAAGAAGTTTTGGTTAAGATTTTTAATTATTAATTCTGGTAGCCAAATCTTTTACATGGTTCTAATGCTTGTACTCACACTGCAAATAGCACTGAAACTTGTAATGTTGTCATGAACCTAGTAATGCTGATGAAATCTATACTGCCATCAAAACAACCAATGATACTATGTACAAATTCTTATTAGCGGGGCCTTTGCAGAGGGAGAAATCAAAACCACTGTGACGTCATGGTAGAGTACCTGGTGGAGATTCAGCATAGCATTCAAGACCACCTTTCTTTTGGGCATTTTGAGAGATTATTTATATTTAGTCAAGATGCTGCAGATAAGCTGCCAGGCGGCGCATGAGAATTAATCAGCCGGGCACTCAAGAAGATGTTTTCAGAAAAGTAGCCTTTATTGCAGATTGCACTAGTGCCATGACTCAGGGGAGTCAGTCTCTAAATCCTGAGTGATGAATATGGACGAAGCTTTCCCTTTATAAGCTTTAGTTCCTTTGTCCCCCAAATATGGGTCAGGCTTCCGGACCCTTCATGGGCTTTGAAGCCCCCTGTGAGTTGGGATGGGGGAAGTGAAACCACACCCAGAGGTTTGGCCAGCACTGCGCCAACACCTCCAGAGATTGTAGATGGTTCATGGTTTATGGCCTCTGTAAAATGGGATTATTCCAGGAAACAGGTTCTGCAAGGCAGGACAGTATTACAGATAAGAAGGGAGTTTGATAAGAATGGAATTTATTGGCAAGCAAGAGTGTGCGTCAGAAGGCAGGTTACTGGCACAGATTCAGATAGCTAGCCCCCCAAATGTCTTGTTTTTCCCTTCAAAGAGAAATGGGAATCTTAGACACTGAAGTAAAAACAGTCTCATCAATTGATAAAGCCGGACTAGTAGGGACCCTCACATTCACAGTTTTGTTTTATGGAGGCCTAGAATTATTGTGAATGCTTAAGGCCATTTGGTCAGTTAGTGGCACAAGATGATAAGCTTAAGGCTGAAAGGGATGAAATATCTTAATTAGTTATGTTATTGCTATTTTAAGTTTGTGATCAACTTAAGTAAAGCATATTCTGGCATGTTCAAATAATACCGTTTTAGAAAGAAACACGTAACTTGTCTACATTATGGGCATCTGTTTTTAAGCTAATTTTTACTTACGTGGCATATTAAACTTCTATTATCTTTTAAAATATATTAGCACATCTATGATGAAGTTGACAGAAGTTTGGTATTGCTTTCTGCTTTAGTTCTAATTGTATAGATAGTAAGCCAGCATTCTTCTCCCTCTCCTGGCAAATAATCAGACTTAAGTGATTCTATTTCTACTCATTGACATTTCTGGGTAGGCCATTGTGTACATTAATCTCTACTTAATATGGATATCTGCTTTCACTTGTGTTCTAGAACTCTGCTGTCCATCACTGCAGCCACCATTTAAATTGTAGCAATTTAAATTTTATTAAAATTAAATGTTAAAAATTCAGTTAGTCACAGTAGCCACATTTCAAATGTTCAGTAGTGACATGGAGTTAATGTCTACCATATTGGATAGTGCATTTCCATCCTCAGAAAGTTCTGGACAGTACTGTACTAGAAGGTTGGTTATGAGGAATAAGCAATTACAAAATGCAAAATTATTTTTAAAAATACATGACCTATAAAAACCTGTTATAATATTTCATAATTCTCATGCTTATCTCTTAAGTATATGACTCAAGAAGATCTTAAAAGCAAAGAGAGATACATTTTTTATAGCAGGCCTGCCAACTTTGAATATTTATCCTGCTATATGCTCTCATATTGGTGGTTGGAAGGGTGTTAAATGTGATTTGACTTTAAAATACCTCTCCCATCAAAATGCTTGCAATTTGGTGTAAACTGGTTCAAAACTGTGGCTTTAAAAAACCTTGGTTGACATTGTTCTCTGGGAAATTTAGGAATATTGTACTATGAAATAACATTTCTGAAGTTTATGTCACAGTATTCTTAGATTTAGATTTCAAGAATTTTCAGTTTGGTAGGAAAGATTTTCTGAAATGACACCCTGTATGAAGTAGTGGATATGTTGAAGAACTACATGCAACATTTATCTTTAAATGGGAGCTGAAATATTGCCATGGATACAAGGAAATTGTTGGTAATCTCAAAGTGTATCAATAGGTCTGCACATGATTTCACCAGCTGCCTACTAAAGTACAGACTGGGACATGGTATATAGATCCCGTAGAGTGATGATGATGATGAATGTTTTTTGTTTTTATCAAAATGATTTTCTACACTAATAAAAGACAAATATGCTAATTGACCATCCCTTCGCTATGCCCAAGCCATGCCCACAAGCCGGTCAGAGCAACTATATGCAAATTAACCCAACCAAGATGCCAGCCGGCAGCCATGCTGGAGCAAGCAGGAGGCTTGGTTACCCCAGCGATGGAGGAAGCCAAGCTTCCCGCCTGCCATCCCCGCTGTAGCCTCCGCTCAAGGCAACAAAGTTTCAATTATAGAAGCTAAATAAATCCCAGATACCTGCTTCCAACCTGCTTCCAGCCAGCCTCCACTGGGAGCTTGGGTGGCTGGGGGCTGTGGCCAGCCTGCAAACAGCCATTAGCCCCTCACCCAGGATGGCCACACCCTCATGGGGTGAGGGTCCCTGCTGGGGGGCTTGGCCAGCCTGCAAACAGCCATCAGCCCCTCACCCAGGCTGGCCAGGCACCCCAGC